ACAGTTTCCCATAAATATTCCTGATTTATATTGGGGGAAGCAATGCATAATTGGAACATTAATCATTTAAGTTTTTAAAAAGTAATTATTTCCTGCAAAGCAATTACTTTGCAAAATGCTAAGCTGCAAAGGACCTTATCTCATAGATACTGAGTCAAACAGTACCTGTCAAAAGGTATAAAAATCTGGCCTTCCATTCCAAATCCACTGCAAAGAGAGTACATGCAGTAGTCCTGTTTACAATTTAATGGAGATCGGGAAAGGGCAAACTTAGGACAAGGAGTGTCATCACCCTACATACAAGTTTACAGTAGTATAGCCATTACATATCATATTTACTACATTCACCACTTTGGACAAAGGATCAGGGAGGCCCTTCACAACGCCAAAACAAAGGAATGTTTGTTTTATATAAGACCTACCAAATAAACAGGGAAACAAATGATAATACACTTAGGCACTAGTCTCAAAGCTGCACAATAGAGAAGCAAAGAGTCTGAGATGAGGAATTTAGGAAAATATACACATATGAGCTTGCTGAGGCAAAGGAGGAAATAAGTCACAGTTCTAATCTTCAAGGCTACGGAATGCATTCTGCATATCTTCAAGAAGCTGTGCATAGTCGCTCTTGATCTTTCCCTCACCATCTTTCACTGGATCCTGAAAAAAGACATGACAAATTCAATTTACCTTTCTTTTTTTGAAACAGTCTCGCTTGTTGACCAGGCTAGAGTGAGTGCCGTGGCGTCAGACTAGCTCACAGCAACCTCAAACTCCTGCCTCAAGCAATCCTTCTGCCTCAGCCTCCCGAGTAGCTGGGACTACAGGCATGCGCCACTATGCCCGGCTAATTTTCTATATATATTAGTTGGCCAATTAATTTCTTTCTATTTATAGTAGAGACGGGGTCTTGCTCTTGCTCAGGCTGGTTTCGAACTCCTGACCTCGAGCAATCCGACCGCCTCAGCCTCCCAGAGTGCTAGGATTACAGGCGTGAGCCACCGCACCCTGCTTCAATTTACCTTTGGAAAATAATTTTCACAATGTATGGTAAGTTACTTGTATTTAATGTATTTTGAGTAGTAGGTTAAGTGAGGTATACTGGTAAACCACAAACAGGAGCCAAAACTATCCTCATTTTCCATTTTTTCTTAAGGGTATAAATGTGTAAATAGAGTCATAATCCAACCAACCAGAGAGAAAACAATTTAAATTTTGTATTTTGCCTGCTAACTACATGCAATGACCAATGTCTTTATCCTCAACAACATGCACAATATTGGGAAATTATGCAACGCCACACATTAGATGTATTAATATATGACTACATACACATGATAATTAGGAATTAATTTAATCAAAACAGAATTTACTATTTGAGATCTGATAAGTATCACACTGGGATGGAAAAGTAAATTTAGGAAATAATAAGGAAAATGCACAAAATCAAGTATTCAAACTGTTAGGGACCGACCTTCCACAGCCCCACCGGACAGAAAAGCAGAGACATTGAGGATGCAATCACACAAGAGGAGGTTTATTTTTTGGCTAGCCAGGGTCCAAGCCCCAGAGCACCAACGCAGTGGCCACTCTCGCAGGCAAGGACTCTCCTTTGTGTGTTAGTCTCTTTTTATAATTTAGTTGTTTATATACTGGTCATGCATCCACCCCCACAGTGATTTTCACTTCAGCCTGCCCCTGATAGGCCCTAACCTGTTCCGGATCCTAGCTGAGAGACTCAGGTTTTTGCTCTCTTTGTCTTTTTCTTTGCATCTCATAATATACTCATAATGCCTTGCGGTTAGCAAACAAGCAGTAAACAGAAGCTGGAAGGTGTCTATTGTCCTTATAGCCCAGGATCTTATAAAACAACCACATATTGTCCACACCAACTGGAAATTTCCTAAATGCCTGAGAACAGGAAAATAATACTCTTCAGCCACAATATAAGGCTACAGAAGAATATTTAAAGACACATAAAAAAATACCTTAAAATGTTAACTTGAAAAAAAATGTTAATTTGATATAATGAATATAAAAATAGAAAAAATATAACTTTAATCATACTATAAGAAACTATCTCTACTATATTTCCTTTTCATCCTCTTCCTATGAATATATAATTTTCAAAGACAATATGTGGATCAAATTACATATGAAATTTTTATAATCGGATTTTTTTCACTCTATATACCTTAAGCATCTCTCCATGTCTTTGGATATTTTTTACAAAAAGATTTAATGCCTTCATAATATTCTATCTTATGGACATTCCATAATGTACTATTGGCTCTGTTTATTCTTGCATGATATTTAAGAAGTTTAACAACCTTTTACATATATCCATATCAAAAATCTGATTATTTTCTTGTTCTATATACCTCAAAGTGGAATGATAGGACCCAAAGGGTGTGAATGTTTTAAAATTCTTGATACAGTGACTATTTATTTGCACAGGTTTACTTTCAATCTATAGTATAAATGAACACACATTATATGTACACATTTTTAAAATCTTATATTGTGTATACACTCAGACGATCATTCTCTTTCTTTTTTTGAGACAGAGTCTTACTTTGTTGCCTAGGCTAGAGTGAGTGCCGTGGGGTCAGCCTAGCTCACAGCAACCTCAAACTCCTGGGCTCAAGCAATCCTGCTGCCTCAGCCTCCCAAGTAGCTGGAACTACAGGCGTGTGCCACCATGCTTGGCTAATTTTTTCTCTCTATATATTAGTTGGCCAATTAATTTCTTTCTATTTATAGTAGAGACAGGGTCTCACTCTTGCTCAGGCTGGTTTCGAACTCCTGACCTTGAGCAATCCGCTCGCCTAGGCCTCCCAGAGTGCTAGGATTACAGGCGTGAGCCACCGCACCCAGCCCAGACAATCATTCTCAATAAGTGATTAGTAAATATGCCTGGATGTTATAACTTATGATAATTAAATAAAATTCAACTAATCAAATATTTTAAAAACAATCTTATACATTTGAGTTTCTACTAATAATTTCATTTTATATTTTTATCTTGTGTACTTCCAAAAGAACAAGAGGCCACTTAAAAGTTAAAAATGATGTGTAATACATGACATTTAAAAGAAGTAAACAGAATAGACGTCATTTCAGAAGAACATGGGGGCTAGACATTAACAGGTACTTGAAGTAAGGTAATTGCTACTTAGCTATGAATTAAGTTCTAAATTGCCTGGCAGCTAAGACAAAAGGAAAAACACATCAGCATTTATGTTAGACATGACATACTATAATTTTTATCATCAGAACTCCTACTGGAACATAACTTTGAGGACTGTATCAGTTTTACACAAACTAAACATGTGTGGAAAAGATAAATGCAAGTTTCACACACCAGGTTTGGGACTCAAAGAGTTAGAAAAATTAAAAAGAAACATTTCCTACTAAAAAAAGTTACAGTAGAAATAAAATATACCTTGAATTTCATGGAGGAAAGTCTATACAGGATCTCTCCCATGTGCTCACGGATAATGGACCATGTGATTTTATTATCACTCTGGGCAGTGGTTTCCACAGCTCTACGGGCCATATCATAAAATGCAATCATGTTGGACAGCATCCCTACTGTTTTATAGAATGGGCAGAACCTAGGATAAATGAAGGTCAAAAAATTAACAAAAACAAATGCCACAGTAGTTTCATACTTTATAAAACCTAGTTTATCTATAAACTACCAGAGCATTAGTTTCTTTATTTAAATATGCAGACTGCTTTTATTTACTGGATGATAAGGAATAAAAAAAGAATAGTGGAAAATACCAATAACTACTTAACCAGAGTTTTTGGACAGACCAGTCTCAGGAGATGGCATAGCCATATGCAGATATATATTCCTTTATTTATTTTAAGGGTGATATTTATTTTTCTGTTAAAGTCACTAAACAGGAAAACAATGAAATAGTATTGCTATAAGCTAATGACTCTCCAAGGGTTTGTTTTTGTATAATCCAGTTAAATAAGTAACCCAAACGGTAAAATAACTGAATTGTAAAGACTCCCTTGTGATACGGGGTTAGGGTTTAATGAATAATACGAAAACAAGAAACTGCAAGTCCCTAAAGTTAATAGTAGTTCTTATCCCTTAATGCGTTCATTTCCATTTACCCATACCTTTTAATTACAAAGACACATGAACAAATATTCAACTTCGAGCACACAGGGTCTCACCAACTTCCTGACACATTTAAACACATTTGCATACACAACTTCGTAATACTCCTATTAAACCATTTCCACAGGACTGTCCCTTGTTGAGATATCTTTGTGTGAGTGTAGCAGATTTCTGAGGTTTACTGATGTGGTGTATTTTCTGCTTGCCTTACATTCTGGTAATCCTACTTGCTCAATTCCCTCTTCAGTCTTATATGGGACCAAACAATATTTGAGGGAGAAAAGATAGCCTGGGATAAAAAAAAAAGCTCAAATTCTTAAAGTCTAAAAGAAAAGGGAACTTTAAACAAGCCTTGGTAGTAGCACAGACAATATTGAAAAAAAAGCAAGCACTGGGCAGGGCTATAAGAGGGTCTTTTGTAGAAAGAAAGAGAAATAGGACTCTAGGAAAATGAGGAAGGAAAGCAGAACATAATTATTTAGGGAAAGAGTAAAAGACTATGGGCAGTAAAGAGATGTGAAGAAAGTTTCTGAGGGAGGCAATGATCCCCAAATTCTGCACACCAAGCCATAAATTAATCAATCTAATTATAGATGATTACATGAGTGAAAATACTGCCATAATTGGACAAATAGAGCAAATCAAGACAAGGAAACATTAGGTCATTAAATGTCTGCTATGAATATACAAAGTATACCAACATACAGTCAGAGTATATAAGCCTGTATGAAGGGACCAAAAAAAAAAATGTTTTTAATGTGTAGGGAGCTCCTTCACCAAAACAATAGAAAAATCCTCAAATAAAAAAAAAAATCATGTGCTCGCTTCGGCAGCACATATACTAAAATTGGAACGATACAGAGAAGATTTGCATGGCCCATGCGCAAGGATGACACGCAAATTCGTGAAGCATTCCATATTTTTATCCTGAATACATGTCTAACAGTCGTCCTTGCATCGTTGGCCATTGCTTTTCACTGCCTCTAAAAGATAAAAGTTGCTCCAGAAATTGGAGATATATTTGATTTAAAAGAAAAAACTTGAACAAATGGACAATATGTCTATTACGAACACACCAACAAGTAATGATGCCTGTCTGAGCATTGTGCATAGTTTGATGTGCCATAGACAAGGTGGAGAGAGTGAAACATTTGCAAAAAGAGCAATTGAAAGTTTGGTAAAGAAGCGGAAGGAGAAAAAAGATGAATTGGATTCCTTAATAACAGCTATAACTACAAATGGAGCTCATCCTAGTAAATGTGTTACCATACAGAGAACGTTGGATAGAAGGCTTCAGGTTGCTGGTCGGAAAGGATTTCCTCATGTGATTTATGCTCATCTCTGGAGGTGGCCTAATCTTCATAAAAATGAACTAAAACATGTTAAATACTGTCAGTATGCCTTGTGATAGTGTCTGTGTGATAGTGTCTGTGTGATAGTGTCTGTGTGAATCCATATCACTATGAACGAGTTGTATCACCTGGAATTGATCTCTCAGGATTAACAGTGCAGAATAATGCTCCACCAAGTATGTTGGTAAAGGATGAATATGTTCATGACTTTGAGGGACAGCCATCGTTATCCACTGAAGGACATTCAATTCAAACCATCCAGCATCCACCAAGTAATCGTGCATCGACAGAGACATACAGCACCCCACCTCTGTTAGCCCCATCTGAGTCTAATGCTACCAGCAACGCCAACTTTCCCAACATTCCTGTGGCTTCCACAAGTCAGCCTGCTAGTATACTAGCAGGCAGCCATAGTGAAGGACTGTTGCAGATAGCATCAGGGCCTCAGCCAGGACAGCAGCAGAATGGATTTACTGGTCAGCCAGCTACTTACCATCATAACAGCACTACCACCTGGACTGGAAGTAGGACTGCACCATACACACCTAATTTGCCTCACCACCAAAACGGCCATCTTCAGCACCACCCGCCTATGCTGCCCCATCCCGGACATTACTGGCCAGTTCACAATGAACTTGCATTCCAGCCTCCCATTTCCAATCATCCTGCTCCTGAGTATTGGTGTTCCATTGCTTACTTTGAAATGGATGTTCAGGTAGGAGAGACATTTAAGGTTTCTTCAAGCTGCCCTATCGTTACTGTTGATGGGTATGTGGACCCTTCAGGAGGAGATCGCTTTTGCTTGGGTCAACTCTCCAATGTCCACAGGACAGAAGCCATTGAGAGAGCAAGGTTGCACATAGGCAAAGGTGTGCAGTTGGAATGTAAAGGTGAAGGTGACGTTTGGGTCAGGTGCCTCAGTGACCACATGGTCTTTGTACAGAGTTACTACTTAGACAGAGAAGCTGGGCGTGCACCTGGAGATGCTGTTCATAAGATCTACCCCAGTGCATATATAAAGGTCTTGATTTGCGTCAGTGTCATCGACAGATGCAGCAGCAGGCGGCCACTGCACAAGCTGCAGCCGCCGCCCAGGCAGCAGCCGTGGCAGGAAACATCCCTGGTCCAGGATCAGTAGGTAGAATAGCTCCAGCTATCAGTCTATCAGCTGCTGCGGGAATTGGTGTTGATGACCTTCGTCGCTTATGCATACTCAGGATGAGTTTTGTGAAAGGCTAGGGACCGGATTACTCAAGACAGAGCATCAAGGAGACCCCTTGCTGGATTGAAATTCACTTACACCGGGCCCTCCAGCTCCTAGATGAAGTACTTCACACCATGCCAATTGCAGACCCACAGCCTCTAGACTGAGGAATTTCTTTTTACTGCTGGGGCCCTTAACATTAGCAGGATGGTGGACTATAAAATACAATCCTGTTTATAATCTGAAGATACATTTCACTTTTGTTCTGCTTTATCTTTTCATAAAGGGTTGGAATATGTGTTTGCTGCCTTGCTCCTAGCAGACAGAAACTGGATTAAAACAATTTTTTCCCCTTATTTAGAACTTTTCAGGCATGGCTCAGAGCTTGAAGATTAGGAAAAACACATTCTTATTAAATCTTCACCAGTTATGTATGAAGGAATCATTCCTGTGCTGGAAAGTTTAGCTCTTTAAACTGTCTTAGAGCCTTTTATATGCAGAACATTGATAGGTGTTATTCTACAGAATAAATCCAATATAACTGATTTTAAAGGCAGAGAAGTTCTCAAAGTTAATTCACCTATGTTATTTTGTGTGCAAGTTAGTATTGTTGAACATACACTTTACTCCAAAAACATTGTGCCATGTGGGTGAATTAATTTTACCAAGAGCAAATTTGTGTTTAAAAAATAAGATAGCAATGTATTATATAACCTTTCATCCAAAATATTTTTTGCAAGTTAAACTAGTGAAGACGATTTCAATTCAAATTGTCTTACAACTTCAGTTTTATTTTTGCCAAGGCAAAAAACATTAATCTGTGTGTATATTGAGAATTTCTTAGAATTACCAAAGAAATGTCATTTAAATTACATTTGTTATCCCCTAATGGATGACTTATTTATCAAGAAGTATACGTCTGCCCTGTTAAACAGTAGATGTATTCTTCTATATTTCTGGGCACAAGGTTGATTACTAAGAAGCCTAGAAGAGGAATTTCTTTTTCCTTCATTAATTCATAGGGAAAGGTTTTGTATTTTTAAAAACACTAAAAGCAGTGTCACTCTACCTAATATCTCACTGTTCTGCAAAGGCGGCAGTGCTTAAACTAAATAATGAGTATTTTGGAAACTGCTAAATTCTATGTTAAATACTGTGCAGAATAATGGAAACATTACAGTTCATAATAGGTAGTTTGGATATTTTTGTACTTGATTTGATATGTGACTTTTTTTCGTATACTGTTTAAATCATGTATGTTATGGACATTGTTTAAAATTCAGTTTTTGTATCTTGGGGCAAGACTGCAAACTTTTTTATACCTTGTGGTTATTCTAAGCCCTTTGCCATCAATGATCATATCAATTGGCAGTGACTTTGTATAGAGAATTTCAGTAGAAAAGTTGCAGATGTATTGACTGTACCACAGACATAATATGTATGCTTTTTACTTAGTTAGTAGCACAAATAAAACTGAATCTCAACATGAAAAAAAAAATCAGTATTGTTTACCTGTCATAAGGAGTATATCCATTTTGTTGTAGGAAGTCATCTTTGATAAGTTTTGCTACCTCCAGGGTAATTTTATCTGTTTCTGCTAAAGAAGCCTAGAAGAGAAAAAGATACATATAATATATATATATATATATTTTTTTTGAAATTGACTTATATAATGTGGGATCAATGGTGGCAGTCAATGGTGGCAAGCAGAAACTGTATAATACACAATCACCTATCACTAATAAATTCACCTTATAACAGCTTTTTTTTTTTTTTGAGACAAAGTCTTGCTTCGTTGCCCAAGCTAGAGTGAGTGCCGTGGCGACGGCCTAGCTCAAAGCAACCTCAAACTCCTGGGCTCAAGCAATCCTGCTGCCTCAGCCTCCAGAGTAGCTGGGACTACAGGCATGCACCACCATGCCCAGCTAATTTTTTCTATATATTAGTTGGCCAATTAACTTATTTCTATTTATAGTAGAGACAGGGGTCTTGCTCTTGCTCAGTCTGGTTTCGAACTCCTGACCTCGAGCAATCCGCCCACCTCGGCCTCCCAGAGTAACAGCTTTTTTGATTGTTCTTTTTTTTTTATTGTGGTAAAAAGCACATAACATAAAATTTACTCTCTTAACCATTTTTACGTATACAGTTCAGTAATGCTAACTATATTTACATTGCTGTGAATCAGATCTCCAGAACTTTTCCATCTTGCAAGTCTGAAATTCTATATCCATTAAACATTAACTCCCCCAAAACAAAAAACAGACAAACAAAGAAACACAAAAACCAACTAACTCTCCCCTTTCTCCTCTTCCCTCAGCCCCTGGTAACCGCCATTCTACTTTCTATGAATTGGACTATTTTAGATACCACATATAAGTGAAATCCCACAATATTTGTCTTTTTTGTGACTGGCTTATTTCACTTAGCATAATGTCCTCAAGGTTTATCCATGGTGAAGCATGTGACAAGATTTCCTTATTTTTTGAGACAAGGCTTACTCTGTTGCTAGGGCTAGAGTATAGTAGTGTCATCACAGTTGACTGCAACCTCAAACTCATGGGCTCAAGCATCCTCCTGCCTTAGCCTCCCAAGTAGCCAGGACTACAGGCATATATCACCATACATGGTATATATTTTTTGTAGAGATGAGGTCTTGCTATGTTGCTCAGGATGGTCCTGGGCTCAAACAATCCTCCTGCCTTAGCTTCCCAGAGTAGTAGGATTACAGGCATGAGCCACCTCGCCTAGCCTCCTTGCTTTTTAAGACTGAATAACATTCCATTGTATGTATATACCACATTGTTTATCCATTCATCCTGAGATTGACATTTGAGTTATTTCTACTTCTTGACTATTATGAATAGTACTGCTATGAATATGAGTATGCAGACTGATGATCTTTTCTTGAAATACTTCTTCACATCCTGGCTTGCCATCTTAATTATTTTAATTCTCATTCTTATGTTTGTTTCACAGAAATCTATAAAACCCCTAAAAAGTTAAATTTTTTAACATTACATGGTGGTTTAGAATTATGAAGTATGTACTTACCTGTTTTTTTCTTTTTAAATCCTTTTTATCCCTAGTCCTCTATTCAAGCACAGATAAACATTAAAATGCATTTTATGTGTCTCCTTTTATTTGTTTAAATTCATGTAAAATGCGTTTTATTTTGTGCCAGTGATTTTTATTATATAAAGCATTCTTACTTGTGTCATTGGTACTTTGGTTTTAAGATCCATCCATGTTGCTGTGTGTCAGGTAGTCTCCTGCTTTCAGGTCTGGTAGAATTCATTCTCTGTGGTGTGCATCCTCCCTATTTTATCTTCCATCTAAGATTTTCTCTAATTCCCTACCACCACAAGTGTCTACTTAAGGACCTGTTTGAGAATTTTTTTGGAGATAAATATCTAGAAGCAGAACTGCTAGGTCCCAGAGTATGCAAGCAAATCCTATCAGACTGCTCTCTACAATGGCAGCACCAGATGTTACGTCCACAAAGTACACCAGTTCCTCTAACCCCACAATGCCTGGCAAGACACAGCTTTCTAATTTTTGCCATTCTAACCAATGTAATGTGATATCTCATTGTTGTCTGAGCATTTTTCTACAGGGCTGTTAGTCTTCTGGGTTTCCTCTTCTATAACCTGTCTGTTCTTTCCTTTGGCCACATTTCTATTGGGGTTCTAGGCTTCTTGTTAACTTACAGATCTTTGCACATTTGAGATATTAGCCCATCAGTGTTAGATGTTGCAAACTTCCTCTCCCAATGTCATTGGTCTGTTACCTTTATCCATGATAGGCCCTTACTGAACAAAAATCCTTACTTTTAACCTTTTTTTGGTTGTTAAACGTGCTTATACTTATGGGAGTCTAAGAAGTCCTTTTCCAACCCTAGATCACAAAGATATTTTCTTAATGTTTGTTTTCTATTACCCTGAAAGTCTTATCTCTCACAGACAGATTAAATTACTAATCTATCTGGAGTCTACCTTTGAATGCGGAATTAGGCAGCAATCCAATTTTTTTTTTTTTTTTCGCTTTGTTGCCCAGGCTAGAGTGAGTGCCGTGGCGTCAGCCTAGCTCACAGCAACCTCAAACACCTGGGCTCAAGTGATTCTTCTGCCTCAGCCTCCCAAGTAGCTGGGACTACAGGCATGCGCCACCTAATGCCCAGCTAATTTTTTCTATATATATTAGTTGGCCAATTAATTTTTTTCTATTTATAGTAGAGATGGGGTCTCACTCTTGCTCAGGCTGGTTTTGAACTCCTGACCTCGAGCAATCCGCCCGCCTCGGCCTCCTAGAGTGCTAGGATTATAGGCGTGAGCCACCACGCCCAGCCCAGCAATCCAATTTTAAAACAATCCATCCTCCTGTTATTTGATTTGTGGTATCATTTTTGCATTATCAATGGTCCACATGGTTGTGAGTCTATCCCTGTTCTATTTCACTGTTCTATTTGTTTGTTACTTCACTAAAACCACACAGTGTTTTTGTTATTATGGTTTTATATTTCTCCTTATTCAATAGAAGAAGAGTTCCCTCTTTAATATTCTTTCTTAAGACTGTGAATCTCTGTAACATTAGATGAATTTTAGAATGATTACTGATATGCTCAGAAGATTCAACTAGAGACCTAACTGGCATTACATTGAATTTACAATTTAAAGAAATGGCATCTTTTTAGTAAGTCATCCCATCCCAGAGCATACACCGTCTCTGTTTTCAGATCATCTTCTGTTTCATTTATTGGTACAAAAGGGTATCCCACAGAAGAAATAAAAGAAATATATATTTATAGTTACTTCTTACACTTCAGGGTTTGTTCTTTTTTTTTTGGAGACAGGGTCTCACTTTATCACCCAGGCTAGAGTGTAGTGGCATATCATCATATATAATCACTGTAACCTCCATCTCCTGGGCTCAAGCGATCCTCCTATCTCAGCCTCCCAAGTAGCTGGGACTACAGGTGCATACCACCAAGCCTAGCTAATTTTTCTATTTTTTGTAGAGACATGGTCTCTCACTTGCTCAGGCTGGTCTCAAATTCCTAAGCTCAAGCAATCCTCCAGCCTCAGTCTCTCAAAGTGCTAGAATTACAGGTGTGAGCTACTGCACCTGGACTCTACATTCTAGTTTTTATTGCTATTGTGAACACCTTATTTTAGTTTTATTTGCAAATTGGTATTGCTAGTGTAGAGAAATTCTCCAGATTTGTGTTTATCTTGAATCAGAACGCCTCACCAAACTTACTGTTTTCTGTTTCTCTGTTAATTCTGTTATATTTCTAGTTATACAAGCACATTATCTACAAATAATGATATTTTTATCTCTTTTCTTTACAACTTTTCTTTTCTTACATACATTGGTCAGGACCTTTGATACTCAACTGAACAAAAAACAGTGACAGTAGGCACTCTTGTCTTAATCCTAATTTTCAAACGAAATGTATCTGAAATTTTTCCATTAAGTAAAATGTTTTCCCCATGTTTCAGTATATTACTTTTAACAAATTAAGGAAGTTACCGTCCAGTCCTTGTTTGCTAAGAGGTTTCTAAAAATCATAGTTAAATAATGAACATCAAATATTTTTTCCACATTAAGATATCCTTTTTCCATTATATTAGTTACATGGTTAAATTACAATAATAGATTTTCTGTGTCTAATCACATTTGCATTCTTGAGGAAAACTTTACTTGCTCATGATGTATTATTTTATTATTTTTAATACCCTATTAGTTCTAATAAGCTAATACTTAATATTTTATACCTATATTCATAAACAAAATGAGGCTTTAATTTTGTTTTCTTGTACTATCTTTATCTCCTTTTACAGGTCTTCTGCTTCTCCTCTTATAGGACTACAGTACTCTTCTATAAATAACAACTATTTAATACATGCTAGACATGTTAGCTATCTAATAATATTACCCTTTGTTGGAAAAATTGGGAGGTGACTTTATAAGATATAATAAAAAGAACCAAACTAGCATTGCATACTATCTGAGAAGTCATTTGATTCTGGATTTACTTTGCCTAAATTTAACTATAACATCTTCCTTTGAAACATCAAAACACAGACACAAGAATGTAAGTCACTTGTTTAAGGTCACATAGTTAATACTGAAGGAACTAGAATCCAGTCCTTCTGATACCTAGCCCCAGTGCTCCTAAAAATGTATGTTCACAAATCCTATCTCTACTATCTCTAATTTGGTTGGTAATGGTTATATTCCAGTTCAAGAAATAAAAGTAAATTAAGTATTTCTTACCTACAATATACCCAGGACCATGCTAAGAGCTATAAAAGAAAATTATTTCAATTAGTGGTAAAAATATTTAATAAATATTTATTTTGCTAGGCAAGAATCTGCATATCCAAGGTTCTATCTATCTTTATAACATTTCATTCAGTTTAACCCACAGATCTATCCTCCATGAGATTCAACAACTCACCTTTCCCACAAGCTGTACAATTTCCGCCAGGTCTTCTTCTTCCTGC